TTGTTGTCAGCCACTTTAACATTGTAAATACACAGTTTGAACATTAACACTGCACTATGCTTACATACAGGTAAATAAAAACCTAAATAATGATTAAATTAAAATGTGTTGTACCTAAAAGTTCAATAAAAACTACTTAAATGTAAAAAAAAAAAAACTTTACTCAAATAAAGATTAAATTAAGATTATCATGTTCATTCATTCATGATTCAAATAATCAAGAGATTACTGTATATTTGGGTGTGTTATTGTGCTACTCACAGCATCATGTGTCATCATGATTTTGTTCCTCATATTTAGTTTTGTTGGCTTAACCACATAATTATATCTGTACATGAAGCTCTGGTTACAGTGTTTATTCCTGCACTGTGATTTAAGCCAATGGTTCTCAAACTTTTTATACCAAGTACCACTTCAGAAAATATTTGGCACTCCAAGCACCACCATAACGACCAACATTAAAATACAGTAGCGTACTAGGCCTAAATATTCAGCTACAGCTCTGCACAGTTAAAAAACGAGGCAGTTTTATTCCTAATAAGAATTATTTGTTGTTGTCAGCCACTTTAACATTGTAAATACACAGTTTGAACATTAACACTGCACTGTGCTTACACACAGGTGAATAAAAAAACTTAATGATTAAATAAAAATGTGTTGTACCTAAAAGTTAAATAAAAACGACTTAAATGTAAAAAAACAAAAAAACAAAGATTAAATTAAAATGTATTGTGTTTTAACATTAATTTATATTTAATTTAGTGATTTTTCTGCATACCACTAGAGGGAGCCTGAGTACCACTAGTGCTACTCGTACCACACTTTGAGAACCACTGCTTTAAATCAATCTATTGTATAAAGCGCTATATGAATATGACGAGACTGGAGTGCAGATTGCAGAGCTGGTGCAAATTTATCGGTAAATAAAACAGCTTCAAAGATTAAAACTGTGCTGTACTTAAATGTAAAAAAAACCACTCAAATAAAGATTAAATTAAAATGTATTGTGTTTTAACATTAATTTATATTTAATTTAGTGATTTTTCTGCATACCACTAGAGGGAGCCTGAGTACCACTAGTGCTACTCGTACCACACTTTGAGAACCACTGCTTTAAATCAATCTATTGTATAAAGCGCTATATGAATATGACGAGACTGGAGTGCAGATTGCAGAGCTGGTGCAAATTTATCCACATCACCATGATCACATGCAACTCAACAGCCTTCGTGACTGACATTTCACAGCGAGACATTTAAATAACAGCAAAAAAACAGCTAGCAGCTAACATTCAATCAACATTTCTATGTCAGATGCAGGCTATGGTAGGACTTACCTGCTTTCGATTTCCGAAGTGCCGTCTTGTGTGTAGATCCAGCTACATGACTTGAAAGAGCCGCTTCTCCCATCCTATCCACTTTGATAGATTTACAACAGGCTCTGCACCTGGCCAAGTGATGGTCCTTTGGGTCTCTGGCAAGCCATTCTTTGTAATCTTCTTTGGTGAGACAAATATCTTGAAACTTGCATTTTCCAGGCATCACGTTTCAACGGTTTCAGCCTATTTTTGCAGTGTTTCACGGTGTGTCTGAAACGTTGAGGTAGTTTCGCGCGCGTGTGAACGTCATGGCAATGTACAACACAAAGTACCTCATGCGGGAAACACTTAATGTAACGCGCAAATGTGTGTAACTAACATAAATCAAGCAAGCTAGTATGCATAGGTCACGAAGTGTTGGCGAAAAAAACACATTAGCGGACCGGAGGGAATAATATGGAATTTTTTCCAGAAAACTTCTTGCACAAAATAAATTCAAGTACTTTCAAAGACCTGTATCTGGGTCATTCTACAGAAACGTCCACTTTTGGTATTGCAAGATGTCTTAAAATGTATTTATTTTTTTAACATTTAAACTTAGACCACATTATTAGATTGCCTTTTGACTTTATGAATACACATAAATGACAGCTTAATGATTTTTTATATTTTTTGTATATTTATTTAAAGATCGCATGTACCCTTTTTTGTTACCTTACTTTGGCAATTTTAAAGGTTTTTATGAAATATTATTTCTCTTTTTTTTCAGCACATGTAGTCAGAGTTACATAAAAATAATGATAATGCAACAAATAAGGAGATTATGTTTTATTTATTTTAATCAGGTTTGCTAAAAGTGTTAAAAATGTCTGGCTCGGCACGTCACTAACAAAGTATTTTAAAAAGGAAACGTATAAATCTTACAATTTTCTTCAAGATGTAGCCTTCAAATACAGCGGTACTTTTCATAATGTTGTAGAGATGCCTTCACACGACATCAACACCTCTGTGCAGCTGTGGTTGTACAGTAAGATATTATCATTGGACCTATTCAAACTGGATAATGGACTGTTCGACCACTGAATCCAGCAGTGTCTGCCATAATATCGAAGTAAGTGCGCATCATTGATCATTGATCTCACTAAAATGTTTTCTCATAACATGAGATCTGCAGTTTAGTTTAAAGATGAATTATTGTGCACCTATAGCACTCCTCGCTGTCATTAAAACAGCATTCCACAGGAAAAGTGATCAAGCGCATCCACTAAATATGTCTAAATTCATATAATTTTTGTTTAACTTCTGCGTAATGACTTTATGTAATTTCAGTGCTTATCTCCATTAATGAGAGTGAATGTGTATATCAAAATGAAAAACAGTTTAAAACCCTTGCTTACTTCATTACTTTTCTCACTCCAGGCAAAAGAGTGTGTACGGAGTCAATAGCATCCGTACAGTGTGACTGAAATAAAAGTAAGTACTCCGTTTAGAGAGTTTTTGAGCTTATTTTTTATACAATGTTTATTGCAAAGACATATGTAGATGTAGATGTAGTTCAATTATACTTGCAATGATGAAAACAACTGCACACTTTAGAGTTACTTGCACTTACTGCATATGTACTAATTATTTAAAATCATTAGTGTGACAAAAACACACATCACTTGTGCATTGTCAGCATTTTATAGTACATTTACTTTTTTTTTTTAACTTTCTGTAAATGTTGAGCTTTGATTATTTCCCATAGAACCTTCAGTCGAGGTGGCACTTCCTCCTACTGAGAGGAATATGTCTCCAGCACCCAAGAGAAGCAAACCATCATCAGATGAGCAGATGCCTTCAGGAGCCAGTGCTATCAGGTCGCCTTGCAAAGGTGAACTCTTACACATTTCTCTTTTGTCACATGTCTGCTGCTTTCTGTAGAATTAAACAAATTACACTAGACTTGGCTAAATGTTGCAGTAGCAGCCACATAGGTAAAAAAAAAAAAAAAAGAATACTCATTTTAATCACTGATAAGCTTATATCTGTTTGTCATTTGATCCCTGATACATGATAAATTCATGCCTCTTTCATTTCAAAGCCACCAGTTAAAATAAGTTAAAAATAAGATGACACGCATGTAATGTTTTGCACACACTAATGTGCTCTGCTGCTTGCATTGCATATTGTCTCTAGAGAGGTTCATAGGTCCATAGCACAATCATTCATCTAGTTATTAAAGTGCCCCTTTTATGCTTTCTCAGGTATGACCTTTCATGTAGTGTGTAATATAGCTGTATATCAATGTAAAAAGATGAAACTGCAGGACAAATTAAATGACTGTCTCTCAAACGAAAGAAACGAGTCATCAGTAATCCCAGACTTACTTCTTGCATGAACCTGTGTATGTTTGTAACAAAAGCCCAGCCTCTGGTTTCCATTGGCAGAGCAGAGAGTCAGAAAGCAGGGTTTAGAGAGATTGAATCCTTAAACGAATAGTTTCACACACTGATGCTATATGTATTATGAGAAAACTAAAGTGTTTTTTTGACCTTGGACACAGGTAAGCTTATTATATGAGACCTCTAAAGCTAAATTAGATGCTTGAAATAAAGCAGTAGAGCACTTTTTAACATTCAGACCTCAGACCAGGGGCCTTGTGTATAAACGTTGCGTGTGTGAAAAAGAATGTGTACGGAGTCAATAGCATCCGTACAGTGCACACATATTTACGCCAAGTTTGTTTTTTATAAATCCAGATACATGTGTGGAAAACGGCGTACACACAAAATGGGCATAGAAGTGTGCGTACGCCGTTTTCCACGCATGTATCTGGATTTATAAAAAACAAACTTGGCGTAAATATGTGTGCACTGTACGGATGCTATTGACTCCGTACACATTCTTTTTCACACACGCAACGTTTATACACAAGGCCCCTGGTCTGAGGTCTGAATGTTAAAAAGTGCTCTACTGCTTTATTTCAAGCATCTAATTTAGCTTTAGAGGTCTCATATAATAAGCTTACCTGTGTCCAAGGTCAAAAAAACACTTTAGTTTTCTCATAATACATATAGCATCAGTGTGTGAAACTATTCGTTTAAGGATTCAATCTCTCTAAACCCTGCTTTCTGACTCTCTGCTCTGCCAATGGAAACCAGAGGCTGGGCTTTTGTTACAAACATACACAGGTTCATGCAAGAAGTAAGTCTGGGATTACTGATGACTCGTTTCTTTCGTTTGAGAGACAGTCATTTAATTTGTCCTGCAGTTTCATCTTTTTACATTGATATACAGCTATATTACACACTACATGAAAGGTCATACCTGAGAAAGCATAAAAGGGGCACTTTAATAACTAGATGAATGATTGTGCTATGGACCTATGAACCTCTCTAGAGACAATATGCAATGCAAGCAGCAGAGCACATTAGTGTGTGCAAAACATTACATGCGTGTCATCTTATTTTTAACTTATTTTAACTGGTGGCTTTGAAATGAAAGAGGCATGAATTTATCATGTATCAGGGATCAAATGACAAACAGATATAAGCTTATCAGTGATTAAAATGAGTATTCTTTTTTTTTTTTTTTTACCTATGTGGCTGCTACTGCAACATTTAGCCAAGTCTAGTGTAATTTGTTTAATTCTACAGAAAGCAGCAGACATGTGACAAAAGAGAAATGTGTAAGAGTTCACCTTTGCAAGGCGACCTGATAGCACTGGCTCCTGAAGGCATCTGCTCATCTGATGATGGTTTGCTTCTCTTGGGTGCTGGAGACATATTCCTCTCAGTAGGAGGAAGTGCCACCTCGACTGAAGGTTCTATGGGAAATAATCAAAGCTCAACATTTACAGAAAGTTAAAAAAAAAAAGTAAATGTACTATAAAATGCTGACAATGCACAAGTGATGTGTGTTTTTGTCACACTAATGATTTTAAATAATTAGTACATATGCAGTAAGTGCAAGTAACTCTAAAGTGTGCAGTTGTTTTCATCATTGCAAGTATAATTGAACTACATCTACATCTACATATGTCTTTGCAATAAACATTGTATAAAAAATAAGCTCAAAAACTCTCTAAACGGAGTACTTACTTTTATTTCAGTCATAATGGAATCATCTGACAATTCGTTTTGTGCCTCAACCCATCCAACATGAGAGAATGGATCAGCTAGCATTACACAACAATTTTAAGTTCCCTATCGATACTTCACTCGTACTGCGTCTTGCTAGACACTAAGGGAAAAAGTCATTTTTTCTCCTGAACTGAAGCCTTTTTCAATCACACAGTGAAACTGCACGGCCATTGGCACATGTTTTAACCTGTTAACCTGCACCCCCAATTTTGCGACTCACAGCTGAAAATAACCTACCTAACTTAAAATGGTAAGAGTTCCTGACAAAAGTGTGCTACACACACAATTTAGGTATCTTTGGAAAGAAGACCCTTTGGGCTTTACTATCCATCCAGAGTTGATAATGCTCAAAAAGATAAAAAGTTATAGACACTGAAGTGCCTTGAAAAAAATTGTACCACACTGAATATGTTTTTTATTTCATATAAAAATACATGAAATAAGTCCTGGAGCAATCCAGAAAAGTAATGGGTTGAAAGTCACATGTCTCATGAGTTTCTGTTTCAAATCTGAAGAAGATACCATGAAAAATGAGACTCCTGCAGCCATTTCTCTGAGACTATGTCTAGTCGCAGTGGAACGATTCTGCTCAGCTGATTCGCCGCCTTCCCTCCACCTTCAGCGATGCGCAGCAGTCATCCAGTTCCCCTGCCGCCATCTGGCAAGATATAAGAGCAAATTTCTAAAGAGCAAATTTCACGGTGTTGTTTCAAATGCCGCACCATTACTGCAGTACGTGCAGGACTCCCCATCGTGAGTGTGTTTCCTGCCTGGGGAAATCCCACGCGGAATCCACGCTCACCGAGACGAATTGCTCCCACTGCGAGAGCATGAGTCTCGCCTCCCTGCTCTCGCGGATAGCTTTCTTTTCTGAAAGCGACTCCGCCCCTCGCGCCTCCTGTTTTCTTCTTCCAAGGACCCTGTGAGGGAAAAACAGCAGGGCAGAGGATCTCAGCGCTCGGATGTGAGCGAGCTTACATCGGCTCAGGTCCCGCGTACCTCGCTCTCTCCACACACAGAGGCTTCCCCCGTTCTCACCCAGCCTGACCAGTGTCCCTCTGCCAGCGCGAGTGATCTGGTCTCGTTCAGTGGGAGTGACAATGAGCTGCTGGATAACAGCATGCCATTAGCAGCTTTGGACGCGGAGGAGCTGTCGGGCACGATCGCTGACCCCGCCCCCCTGCCGCCATCCGAGCCCAGCGACGTTAAGCCCGGGATGGACGCCGAATTACTCGGTGTCCTCTCAAAAGCCGTTGAGGAGCTGGGTTTGAAGTGGTCTCCACCAGAAGAACCCCCCCACAGCCGTCTGGACGAGTGTTTCCTGCGCAAGTCTGCGCCGACTCAGTAGCCCACGAAGCCTGCATCTGCGTCTGCCACCGCCACCCAGCCAGCCAAACCTGAGCCTCAATGACTTTCTAGCTCAGCCAAGCGCTACCCGCTTCCAAAGAGCCAGGGACCCTGGCCTAAGCTAGCGCTGGACTGAGCAAAAGGACAGGAAGAGAAGGGGGCCACGTCTCGCTGCAGCCGGACCACTCCCCAAGCTGCCTCTCGTGAGCCGCCAATCACCCCGTCCAGTTCTGGGTGCAGCCGGCGATGTGTTTGCTGTAAACTCTGGGCCTGTTCAAGCACACAAACGACGATCCGCTGTTATAGCGGGCAAAATAAAACACAAACATTTTCAAAAAGAGAGCAAATTCCCTCTTCCATTTCTCATGAATGCCGTGTCCCCTTGCATCGACCAGGCACTCTAACCAATCCAACCCCTGTCTTCCCGGGCCAAGGCGTGGCAAGCCATCCTCGGAGTGTCAGAATGGGTTCTGGGGATAATAAAGCAAGGTTATTCACTCCAATTCGCTTGAAGACCCCCGCGCTTCAGCGGAGTGGTCCCCACTTCGGTTCAGAGCACGGACGCACATGTCCTGCGAGCCGAAGTGAGGAATTTGCTGGAAAAAGGAGCCATAGATGTTGTTCCTCCGGCCCAGAGCAAGTCAGGCTTCTACAGCCGTTACTTCCTCGTCCCCAAGAAGGACGGCGGCCTACAGCCCATCCTCGATCTCAGACGTCTGAATCGCGCCCTCATGAGACGGCCATTCAGGATGATTACACTGAAACCGATCCTCTCGCAAATCCACCCAGAGGACTGGCTCTTTTCTCTGGACCTGAAAGACGCCTACTTTCACATCCAGATAGCCCCCCATCACAGGCCATTCTTGAGATTCACCTTCGAGGGAGTGGCTTATCAATATATGGTCCTTCCCTTCGTGCTCTCCCTGGCTCCACGCACTTTCACAAAGTGTATGGATGCGGCTCTTTCCCCTCTGCGACAGATGGGAATCCGCGTTCTCAACTACCTCGATGACTGGCTCATTCTGGCCCAGTCAGAGGCGGAGTCACTATCTCACAAAGCCCTTCTCCTCAGCTACTTGAAATGCCTGGGGCTCAGGGTGAACTTTGCCAAGAGCACACTGTTTCCCAGCCAGCGAGTCTTGTTCCTGGGAATAGAGTTTGACTCGGCTCAAATGAGAGCGAAGGTCACAACAGAGCGCGCTCTGATCATACAGAGGCTCCTTCAAGGCTCGTGCCTCTCACCCCCTCAAGAGGTTTCAGAAAATGCTAAGCCTCATGGCTGCAGCGTCTCCAGTGCTACAGTTGGGCCTGCTACGAATGTGCCCCCTCCAGCACTGGCTCAAACTGCGGGTTCCATCCCACGCGTGGCGTCATGGACGCCTGATTATCAGGGTAGGTCAGGCCTGTGTAACAGCCCTGACCATCTGGATGAACACCCAATGGATGGAACAGGGAGTTCCCCTGGGAATGGTCTACAGGAGGAAGGTGGTTTCGACAGATGCTTCCAACACAGGTTGGGGAGCTCTGTGTAAAGGAAAACAGACGTTCGGCCACTGGTCGAAAGCGGAAAGCTGTCTGCACATCAACTGCCTCGAAATGCTGGCGGTATGGCGGGCCTGTCGAACCTTCCTACCAGACTTCAGGGGACATCATGTCTTGGTCTGTTTGGACAGCATGACGGAGGTGTCCTACATAAATCGCCAGGGGGGACTGTCCTCGAAGTGGCTCCTTGTACTAGTAGAGCGCCTCTTGGAATGGGCCCAGCTCAACCTACTTTCGCTGAGAGCAGCACACGTTCCGGGCAAACTGAACCAAGGAGCGGACATGCTGTCACGAAGCAAGGTCCCCTCAGAGGAGTGGATGCTTCATCCGCAGATGGTTCAGAAAATTTGGGAAATCTTCGGCAGGGCAGAAGTAGACCTCTTCACCTCAGAAGACAATTCTCACTGCCCAATCTATTATTCCAAGGACAAGGATGCGTTGGCCCACGACTGGCCCAACCTCCTTCTCTACGCTTTTACCCCGGTTGCCCTGATTCCACAGGTAATCAGGCAGATCAGGGAACAGAAACGCAAAGTGCTCCTGGTGGCCCCGCTCTGGAGGAACCAGCATTGGTTAGCAGTGCTGTCTAAGCTGCTAATAGCAGCCCCGTGGCCTATTCCCCTGAGGCAGGATCTCCTCTCCCAGGCGAACAGCACGATATGGCACCCCAGGCCAGAGCTGTGGGCCTTGCACCTGTGGCCACTTGACGGGAGCCTGTTAGTCTCCCAGAGTGTGTACTGAACACCATTTCTCAGGCTAGAGCTCCGGCTACAAGACGCCTCTACGCCCTTAAATGGTCAGTGTTCTCTGCCTGCTGCTCAAACCGCAGTGAGGACCCGCTCACCTGTGAAGTATCGGTGATACTGTCCTTCCTGCAGGAGCTGTTGGATAATGTTCCCCATCCACGCTCAAGGTCTATGTGGCAGTGATAACGGCTTCTCATGCCCATATAGCGGGCCAATCTGTGGGCAGGAACAACCTTGATGTTCGTTTTCTTAGGGGAGCCAGGAGGCTAAATCCGCACCGACCTCTCACTGTCCCTACGTGGGACCTGCTCACTGTTCTGAGGGCCCTGAAGGGTCCTCCCTTTGAGCCGTTGCAGTCCATCGACCTTCGGTCCCTGTTGTTTAAAACCGCTCTGCTACTAGCGTTCTTTCTGCTTAACTGGCGCGCAGTTCGCTCTGAGTGAGTTTGGATGTAATATGTCCAGACCTATCAGAGAATTTACTTGTGCGCTCTCGGCCCCCATAGGTGCTGAAGCTGCGCAAGTCTTCTGGAACGAGCACTCGGCCGGGTGAGGCCTTCATGAGGCTTAGCCCGTTAGCCTGGAAGGATTTATTGTTCTTGTTCTCATGGCCCAGAGGTGCCTAGGTCAAGGATTACCATTGTCGCTCCTCTGCCACGGCACGGCGTGATTGTACTGTTCCCATAGTGTCTAGCAAGACGCAGTATGAGTGAAGTATCGATAGGGAACGTACTCGGTTACAAACGTAACCTCGATTCCCTGAGATGCGGGAACGAGTACTGCATTGCTAGCCGTGCCATACAGCTGCACGTCTCAGTCGTCGCTTCAGTCGAAGTAACCTTAATCCAATGGCGAAGCGGCCGCTTGTATAGCCAGATGACTCCACCCATTCTGGTGTACTTTGGCGGGTTTCGCGGCCATAGGTTTGTGCAGCACCGCTGCCGAGCCATTGGTTAATTTTTAAAACATACTGCACGAACCAATGGCCGTGCAGTTTCACTGTGTGATTGAAAAAGGCTTCAGTTCAAGAGAAAAAATGACTTTTTCCCTTAGAGTCTAGCAAAACGCAGTACTCGTTCTCGTATCTCAGGGAACTGAGGTTACATCATTTTATAGTATCAAGTTCCTCAAAAAATCTTTACTGTAAAACACGTTGAAGAATATCTTGGAGGCATTTGATTCGTTACACAAGTAGTTTTGACAAAAAAAAAAAAGCTTTTTCAGTGCACTGAAGCATCTTCTTTAGTGTTGGAACAATGTTTTTGCCCATCAGGTCTTCACAAGTCACTTGACTGAAAACTATTCATAACTGCAAAATGTAATCATGTATTTTGACAGTAATACAAACCGTCAACAGTAGATGAACAGTGTCCCTCTTGTATGCTCCCGTCTTCCTCATCACAGTCAATAACTTTTTCTTCCTCACAGTCAATAACTTTTTCTGTGGAAGTTCAAAGTACAGCTTTACAGTGGTATATAATGGCTCGGTAACACATGGTATATGAATAG